TTATCAATATGCCAGTGCACAGGCAGTGCCCTTGTTGTAAAGCACAATATAAAGTAAGGCTCTGAATAAAACAGACATTCTGTCTTACTTGAAAGCAAATATTAATGATGCCTTAAGGTTTGGTGACCCCGTATGTAAAAAATGCAGGGGAAGATACTACAATCACCATTCATCTACTGAACATCCTAGTAGCGATGTAGAGCACCAGCTTGAGTCACTGAACTGGATTCTTCTGAAATATCAGAGATCCTTTTGACACTTAGGGCAGCTGCTTCAAAGAAAAGTTGTTTAGACTTTGTACCATGTTTTAATAAGAAATATTTTTGCATACTTTAAAGAAAACAAAGAAGAGGCGGTGCTTTGAATTTTAGTTCGACAACTTTGACCATATGTCTGTATCTAGTGGTTTTACCGAAGTATTAACACAGAAATGGCTAATGAAAGATATCAATCTTAACCTCTAGTGTTGCATTTCACTCCACTATACATACAATGGTCGTACACATAGTTAGTTACTCATTGTCACTGTCAGACTCAGACCAGTCCTCAATCATCATTGCGTCATCAGCACAGCTGAGGTAGCTTGATGAGGCAGTTGGGTGTGCTATCCTAGGCTGGTGTCGCTCATAAGAAAGGTACCAGAGAACAGATGCAATATGGGCACAGCAGCCCACTACCCTGGCACCAACCTTACACTGGCAATACCAACCAGATATAGGAGTCAAACCAGGGGAATACTCAATCCACAGGTTGTACAGTTTCGAAGCAACATGTCTGGAACGAATCTGAACTTTAATTAAGCCAGGCTTTTCCCTGCATGCCATTAATTCATACTGGCCATCTTCAGACAAGTGCTCCATGGTATATGACTTTGCCTGCTTCAACTGATATACTCCCATGGTAAGATCTCTCAACTCCGGTTCTGTCAGCTGAGGAAAGTCAGGCAAACTGGCCTCATCAAGCTTGACCCATATGGCTCTTTTCCTAGCCAAACCTTCTTTTTCAACTTGAATTTGCAATTTATTGGGACATTTTGACAGAGCCAACATTCGCTCAGCAATGATGAGGTCATTGGGAGAATCAGAGGCAAGTGGGGGGCGAAAAGCATTACAAATTGCACACACAATTCTCACAAAATCACCTACAACTGGAATGAGAGTGTTGGGCAAAACATGTCCCAAGGTCTTCCACTGCTTAATCCGCCCATTTGCCGACTCCACAACCCACCTTACCTTTGTTACAAGATGAGATTTGTTTGCCTCAGTATGTGTGTGTTGTTTCTGCCCCTTTGGCAAGAAAAATGGCATTTCTGTTTTGATGCCAGCATCATTCAACAGTTCTGTCACATCTCTGAAGCCTCTGTCAACGACAAGAACATCATCATCTTGAAACCAATCCTTGATGTTCTCAGTGTTAGTTTTCAACATGTGTTTTGTAATGTTGGCGTCATTATTTCGACCGTCTGCTAAATATGGGCCTTGGACAGACAGTATATAGCCATCTGAGGCCACAAGAAGCATTGGTTTCAGGAGAGGGTGTCCTTTGTGCATCGAAAAAGAGCGTCGTTGGAAAGTATAGTTGCTGGACTTTTCAACATAAATATATGTGCCATCAGCAACAGCTATAGCGACATCTTCACCAGAGGCAAACATCTTCCTTGCAAATACCGTTGTATGGTTTTGAATTACTTGTTCTCTAGTGATGTGTTGCAGGCCAAGGTGTGAAGGAACGAAGTGGGTCATCAATGCTTGGCGAGCTGAATGAATACATTTTCCACATATTCTCTTTGTCATGTTGAACAGAGAAGCTAATATTGATAAAGACATGCCAGTCCTCAACTTTACAAGCAGGATGGCTAATGCAGTCCTTGCGCTTCTGTTCAGTGTAGAGTAAAGAGAGGGATTAACTGATCGTAAAAGGTCAGAAAATTGATTTTTATACAGACCTGTGAGACGGTAGTAATCTTGATCAGTTAATCCATCTGAGGAATCAAAGTCTAAACAACTTTTCTTTGAAGCAGCTGCCCTAAGTGTCAAAAGGATCTCTGATATTTCAGAAGAATCCAGTTCAGTGACTCAAGCTGGTGCTCTACATCGCTACTAGGATGTTCAGTAGATGAATGGTGATTGTAGTATCTTCCCCTGCATTTTTTACATACGGGGTCACCAAACCTTAAGGCATCATTAATATTTGCTTTCAAGTAAGACAGAATGTCTGTTTTATTCAGAGCCTTACTTTATATTGTGCTTTACAACAAGGGCACTGCCTGTGCACTGGCATATTGATAAAAGAAAAGAAAACAGGGCATAAACTTAGAAAACACTCCTTATTAAAACCTTAATTTGGATGAACAAAATTATGAACAACAGTTGAATTACAATTATATGTCTAAATTATATGTACAATATCAGTGACAGTCAAACCAAGAAAGTATACTAAAATCGCTGAGGTTGTGAAGTGTAGTTGCCACGTATTAATTGTATATATAAGGGTATATGAACTGTCTGAGACAAGGTGCACATGTATACTCACCGGTAGACACAAAGATCCTTAACAAGGTATATGTCAGGGGATGGCATTATATCCCGCCATTTTAGCTTAAAGCTCAACCAGCCGTACCAAACTGGTTTAAATATCTCTACATTTATCAAGCAATTTATTTTAAACAGTTCTTAATGCAGTACAATTTAACATTTATTTATTAGATATTTATTATCTAATATAATTACATAAGACAACTCTGATATCAACCAAAAGTTGTCAAAAGTGTGAACCCGCCCCCTCCCATTAATTAATTCTCCATTTTCTATAAAGTATTCAAAAATAAATCTTACTAAAGCATGACACATGATAAAGGTATTGTTTTTATGTGCATTAAGGCAGAAAATTAAGTTCATCTTTAATATAATTCGCAATTAATGAGCTTAATTAGCATGACCTACTTTTCAACAATGGAATATTTTTTTCGATCAATTTTACTAATGAATGTTTTGATATGGATTATTACATGAAAATTAAGAAGGAAAAATCCAAAAATATAATGTAGGTTTGTCATAATGGAGCTGTTTATGAATTTTACCCCCCACTTTACCCCCCCATAACTAATGAATGGCTCAGATCTGACCTTAATTTTATGTCATATCATGACCGCCTAACCCCAAGGAATTCCTACACAAGAAATAAAAAATATCGGTCATGGCCGCCAGAAGGCCCAAATTGGCACTCCTCCTTTAGAAAATTAGAAATATTCAATATTTTTCATGATTTTGAAAAGTTGGGAGGGGGAGGAAGTGGTCCATTGCGTTGCGATTCACGTATTTGAAATATGTGATTTGTGCTGATGATTCTTGCAAAATTTTGTTGATGCCAAAGACATTCATTCATACTTAAGAGGGGTATCTTAGCAAATGTCAAGTTAGGATGTCAAAATGTAGCAAAAGGGATGTGTTTCTCCACTGAAATGTGTTATTAAATTAATTGAAATCAAGAAAATGTGTTACTTTAATAAACTTATTTACATTGATTCGCGAAAGAGGGATTTACCAATAATATAGGATAGTATATTTCGAGAAAGAAGAGTTTCTGTCATAGGAATATACCAGTGTGTGTTATATATCAGATACTATCTGATAGGAAATGTCTGTTACCACCTACAGGATAGATTTCGTGAAAGTGCTCTAAATGTTTAATGAACCAAAGTGAGGTTTAATTAGCATCAGGAAATATCTCCATCATCTTTGAAATAGCGAGTGTTTTGTGAAAAAGATGAGAAATCCTACAGACGCTTGATAATATGAATATTGAAAACATGTCCTTTTCTCGGAAATTATAGAAACTGTCACTTTGTGAAAAATGTGAGAATCTTTGTATAATTATATAGTATGATTTTCTTGGTGCATTTTTATATCAGCTGGCACACTACACACTTTTCTGTTCTAAGAACAAGTTGGATCTAATCAATTCATTAATTATGTTTTCGTTTTGAACATGTTTAGTTTTAATTAAAACTGCTATTTTGAAATATTACTGTCTACTAGTATACTTGTTTTACATTGTTGTATCTAGATTAGGCAAATAGAGAGACCAAATCATTTTAAATTATCTGTATGTGTCTTATAAGTGAATTTCCAATAAATTACAGTCACCTGTCACATATCTAGAACAGTTACAAAAGCAATATGCTCGGTTGCAGTACGTGGCATATCATGTTTATTTTGGTAAGGTGTTAATCCTTATGTGTCGCACGAGTTTTAGCAAAGGATCTTAACGTGTACGTTTTCTGAACGTCATAGACTGTCTTTATATAGCCAACAGAGGACAGAATAAGTTTATTCAGTTAGTACTGAACACTGACACAACTAGATCGGAAACGGTGGTAAACATCATGGATCCAACAAACACTACGTTGACACCCAAAGTCTATGAGTTTTGTGAATCATTTGACAGATCGACGTCCGCCACGGTAAATGCCACTGGTTTCGACTGGGCACCAGTCTGTATACAACTGGCTTTGATGACTATCGATGTATTAGGGAGTCAGTCACCATTGCTCATGGTTGCTCTGAGGAATTTGAAATATGTTAAAGTTGTTAGCGAACGAAGGGGTTATGACGTTCAAAGTTGGCAGGATTATGAAAACGTGACACGATTATTTGGCTTTCCCGTTGCATATTGTAGAGTCACTTATAAACGCTACCTTGATATCATAAATTGCTCGAATATTCTGTACGATTACACAGTTGGAGGTTTGGCTGAAATAACGACATTTTGTGAGGAAAACGAAGAATTTGGGAACAGCAGAATCTGTCGAAGCACCGTTCAGTTTCAGTCGATGTTGTTCAACATCACACAGTATTTTCCGATCAATGGGGAGCTTGCTTTCTACAGTTATTTTTATCCTGTTGCGGTACTTCTCGTTCTGGTGTCGAACGTCCTCATGGTGATGACGTTTCTACGGGGGCGGTTTTTGTCTGCAGCACACCTGCTGTTGGTGGCCGTAGCATTGATGGACACGTTGACCGTCGTGCTACCCGTCCCGTATCTCTTCTACTATTTGACTCTAGGCAACTACATCACTTACATTTCGTACAACCACTGCATCGCCATCACAGCTATCTTATTGTACGTGGCGCCGATCTGCCACGGAGTCTCCGTTTGGCTGAATTGTGGACTGGCCATACAGCGCTACATACTTTTGTGGCACAGCAGTTTTACCAGAAGCTCGGTCCTGCGCAGAAAGTTCTGTGTCCTCTTTATGTTTGCAGTCATTGTCGTTGTCTCTACAATCTTTATCCCGGGACTAATGACACTAACTAATTACCCTGTCGTATATGCTTATTCCTCGGACAACGAAGAAATCCAAACGACCTTGAAATCGCCAATAGTGACTGTAAGCACACAGTTCCGTGTTGCACAGATGTACTGTGCCCGAAGTGTTATCATACAGGTGATTCCGTGCGTCGGGATGCTGGCATTATTTATAGACCTTGTATTAAAATGGAAGGCAGCCGTGAATGCAAACTGCAAAATGACGACTAGTGAGAGAGGGTGTGATGACTTGGAAAGCATTCAGACTTTTAATAAGGTAGTCCTATACATGCTAGTTGTTTTCTTTCTTGCCGAAATACCGGTGGCCGTAGTGGCATTTATAGTGAGCTGGGATGCCATGAACAATGAACCAGTTGATGACAATATTCTTGTCACAGCCTTTGTATCAAACATTATAATCTTATTCACATCTCCCATTAACTTACTCATTTACGTATACCAAAGTGACTGCTTCAGGCACAACTTGAAACGGCTTCTATCATTTCAATGCTGGTCTCGAAAAAGTAACCAGTCAGGAAACGGCATCCGGACTCGGACTTTTCCTACTGAGGAGATACAGTTGTCGGACACTTAATAATGATATACGGGGTACGACCTTTATCACTGAGGTCAGAGTATCATTTATCGGATACTATCATCACACATTGATGACCGCTGACCTGTTTATCATTATCACACATCAGTGACGCCTGACCTGGCGTTGTTTATCATTATCACACATCAGTGACGCCTGACCTGGCGTTGGTTATAATTATTACACATCAGTGACGCCTGACTTAGTATTGTTTATAACCATCTCACATCGGTCACGCCTGACTTAGTATTGGTTATAAGCGTCTCACATCGGTCACGCCTGACCTAACGTTGTTTATAACCATCTCACAACAGTCACGCCTGTCCTAACGTTGTTTATAACCATCTCACAACAGTCACGCCTGTTCTAACGTTGTTTATAACCATCTCACATCAGTGACGCCTGACCTAGCGTTGTTTATAAGCATCTTACATCGGTCACGCCTGTCCTAACGTTGTTTATAACCATCTCACGTCGGTCACGCCTGTTCTAACGTTGTTTATAACCATCTCACATCAGTGACGCCTGACTTAGTATTGTTTATAACCATCTCACATCGATCACGCCTGACTTAGTATTGTTTATAACCATCACACATCAGTGACGCCTGACCTGGCGTTGGTTATAATTATTACACATCAGTGACGCCTTACCTGGCGTTGTTTATAATTATCACACATCAGTGACGCCTGACCTGGCGTTGTTTATAAACATCTCACATCGGTCACGCCTGACCTAGTATTGTTTATAGACATCTCACAACAATTACGCACGACCTGGTGTTGTTTATAACCATCTCACATCGGTCACGCCTGACCTAGTTTTGTTTATAATCATCTAACATCGGTCACGCCTGACCTAGCGTTGTTTATTATTATCACACATCAGTAACGCCTGACCTAGCGTTGTTTATTATTATCACACATCAGTGACGCCTGACCTGGCGTTGTTTATAACCATCTCACATCAGTGACGCCTGACCTAGCGTTGTTTATAAGCATCTTACATCGGTCACGCCTGTCCTAACGTTGTTTATAACCATCTCACATCGGTCACGCCTGACCTAACGTTGTTAACAACCATCTCACATCGGTCACGCCTGTTCTAACGTTGTTTATAACCATCTCACATCGGTCACGCTTGTCCTAACGTTGTTTATAACCATCTCACAACAGTCACGCCTGTTCTAACGTTGTTTATAACCATCTCACATCAGTGACGCCTGACCTAGCGTTGTTTATAAGCATCTTACATCGGTCACGCCTGTCCTAACGTTGTTTATAACCATCTCACATCGGTCACGCCTGACCTAATGTTGTTTATAACCATCTCACATCGGTCACGCCTGTTCTAACGTTGTTTATAACCATCTCACATCAGTGACGCCTGACTTAGTATTGTTTATAACCATCTCACATCGGTCACGCCTGACTTAGTATTGTTTATAACCATCTCACATCGGTCACGCCTGACTTAGTATTGGTTATAAGCGTCTCACATCGGTCACGCCTGTCCTAACGTTGTTTATAACCATCTCACATCAGTTACGCTTGACTGATGTGTTGTTTTATTATATTTACACGAAAGATATTTTCATTGTTTAATATTTATAATATTGTCAATCAACATTGTTAACGTAACATTGTTTGTTACATTTGTACTCAGTTATCATCAATAAAGTCTGTTTGAACATTAGCAAGAAAATTATATTCTTATTTAATTGGAAAAAAGATTTCACTAACTTGTATGTTACGTAGTTAGATGTGTTTGATGCTCGTTAGTAGGTCAGGTGGTTTAGTTGTGTGGTAGAAATATGGATGTGTCCGATGCTCGTTTGTATGCCAGGTGATTTCGTTGTGATATAAAACCGCTTACACTTTCGGAACACTTATGTCTTTGTACTTTTTTTTCTGCAATCTCCTTGGTCAATGTTGATCTTTGTACTTTTTTTCTGCAATCTCCTTGGTTCAATGTTAAGGTTTAACTATGATCCTTATTGACCTGTCAGCGATCGATTGTTTTCCTTCGCCGCGACATCTTTTAGCCATCCAACATTCCCTGTTGATGCTAGATCTCCTGGGTATCCTGACCATAATTACCCGCCACCCTTTACACAAACAGATTATTAAAAGCATCGCCAAAACAATTCCATATTTACATTTGAAAAATAAAGAAAATAAGAAAAATACCTTTAATTTATTATTAACTTTGAAAAAAGTAATTGGAAACGAACTTTTTTCCTTTAAGTAATACAGCAGTAGTTTATTAACTAGCTACAGAGATGGAAAATGTTTAGTTAGCCAATCTGGTTTAATGAAAAAACATTATTTTGAAATTGAGAAATTGATCAAATAGAAATATCGTTCTTTTTTTTTCCTTGATTGTGTAAAATGTCGATAAAAAGCGAGAGATTATGTCTACGATTTCCTATAAATGCCTGTCTTGTCACTTCCAACAAGAATGGAGTGTCCCCTTCCACTAAGTGCCCGGAAAGCTTCCTTGTACAGACCTTGGTTATAATCCTGACTACAGCCCAGACTCTCGCTACATTTCTAATCTATCATGCCTTTATGTATTTTCCACATTCAAAATGTACATTTATGATCTCAATACATACATGTGATTGACTTGACAATGAGGTGTTCCATTGTTATCAACAAGCTTGACGTTGACGTATATTCGAAGGCGTCCCCACCTACAGACATCCCTCTGTGTTGTGACTTAATGCACATCAGATGGCAATTGATTCAAATGATTTACAAGTATCAAGAATCAAATTCCTTTTGGAAATCCGTTAAAATAGGGAACAATAAGTTTTCCGTCCGTCCGTCCGGTATCAACGTTTCCTCCACTGAAAGGGTCTCAAAAGACCTATGGTCATAACACTAATCCGGAAAGGTAGATTGACGGATAGAAAATGTTCCATTAAAGTCTTTTCTTCAGAACCTGGAGAAGAGGTGGGTGATACAGGCCACTTTTGACTTCTTGTTATATTTTGTCATTGTGTCAAAATAGCTTGTAGAATGTTATTTGTGACAGCTTTGATCTACTGAATACTTACTGGGTAACGAATGCGATCTTGTAATCGATATTCAGTGACTGTATATGGCGCGGTGTTTAAGGAGTTTTTATTGAAGATTTTTATAATTTTTGATTGATCACTATATTAATGAGGGTGTGGGTGTATATCTTTTTACTTCCCACGTGATTGTAAGCCCCGACAGACTCACCCAAGTTATGTATTAAATCGTTACAAAATTCTCATAATGTAAAATAAATCCGGCTTCGTTTCATTTCTATCTCTCAAAATAAAGTATAAAGGTCGTTTTAATTCCCACATTTTATGTTCATCTGTTCAGTCGTTCTAAATATATAATATATATCAGAAAAAGGGTTTTGTTTGTCACCTTATCATTAATATAAATGCTCCCCAATGAAATTCTGGGATGTGATGACTGATTTAGTACAATCATAGATAAGTTCCGTTATCGATAGTTATACCGTTGTCATAGTGATGTCACTGACATCATCATACTACCTAAAATAACTGATACTTGAGCTGGTCGTGCATGCAGGAAGTATTAAGCCAAATATTGTAATGGGTGAGGTGCTAATCTTATCGTTAAGTCGTTTAGACACTATTGGAATTAAAAACCCAAATATACAACATAACATGAGGACATGACCTTTGTGTAAGTCAGGGTACAATTCTGTATTTTGTAAGTAAGAATATTCCATGGTCACAATAACAAGCATTATAGAGCAGAGTTTCCCGTGGTCACACAGACAGGTATTATAGAGGAGAGTATATCGTGGTCACAATGACAGATATTATAGAGGAGAGTATCCCGTGGTCACAATGACAGGTATTATAAAGGAGGGTATTCCGTGGTCACACTGACAGGTATTTTAAAGGAGAGTATTCCATAGCCACAATGACAGGTATTATCGAGGAGAGTATTCCGTGGTCACAATGACAGGTATTATAGGGGAGAGTATATCGTGGTCACAATGACAGGTATTATAGAGCAGAGTATCCCTTGGTCATAATGAGAGGTATTATAAAGGAGGGTATTCCGTGGTCACACTGACAGGTATTTTAAAGGAGAGTATTCTATGGCCACAATGACAGGTATTATCGAGGAGAGTATTCCGTGGTCACAATGACAGGTATTATAGGGGAGAGTATATCGTGGTCACAATGACAGGTATTATCGAGGAGAGTATCCCGTGGTCACAATGACAGGTATTATCGAGGAGAGTATTCCGTGGTCACAATGACAGGTATTATAGAGGAGAGTATCCCGTGGTCACGCTGAGAGATATTATAAAGTAGAGTATCCCGTGGTCATAATGACAGATATTATCGAGGAGAGTATATCGTGGTCACAATGACAGATATTATAGAGGAGAGTAACCCTTGGTCACACAGACAGGTATTATAGAGGAGAGTATCCCGTGGTCACAATGACAGATATTATAGAGGAGAGTATATCGTGGTCACACAGACATGTATTATAGAGGAGAGTATTCCGTGGTCACAATGACGGGTATTATAGAGGAGAGTAACCCTTGGTCACACAGACAGGTATTATAGAGGAGAGTATCCCGTGGTCACAATGACAGGTATTATAGAGGAGAGTAACCCGTGGTCACACAGACAGGTATTATAGAGGAGAGTATTCCGTGGTCACAATGACGGGTATTATAGAGGAGAGTATCCCGTGGTCACACAGACAGGTATTATAGAGGAGAGTATTCCGTGGTCACAATGACAGATATTATCGAGGAGAGTATTCCGTGGTCACAGTGACAGGTATTATAGAGGAGAGTATTCCGTGGTCATAATGACAGATATTATCGTGGAGAGTATTCCGTGGTCACAATGACAGGTATTATAGAGGAGAGTATTCCGTGGTCACAATGACAGGTATTATAGAGGAGAGTATATCGTGGTCACAATGACAGATATTATCGAGGAGAGTATCCCGTGGTCACAC